GACTCAGGAGTGTCAGGGAAGTAGGCAGACCATCAATGTCATCAACATCTTGGCTTGCATCTAATTCCATCAAAGCATCCATATCATACTCGAGGTGGTCATGCTCAGGATGAGCATCTCATTTTTTGTAATAAACATAAACTAATTACTCAGCAACTAATTACTCTCGCAACCTACTAAGCAACTTCTCATTGTAATAAACATAAACTAATTACTCAGATTGATCTGTATTTTTTTTTCACACTGTAGATGTAACTATAAGTGCTCCGACATCTTTCTGCACAAGAAAATTTAACACTTTGCAACAATACCTTTATTGCTAATGAATACAACTCTGGAGCCCCTCCTCCATAGAGATCCCACAATGAAACCGCGGGCATTGTGCCCCTGTCAGCTATTGACGCTGGGAGCGAGAAAATCGCTAATTTGTAGTCGCATATTAGCTCGTTCTGTTTCATCCAAAATCAGCGAATCAAGAGCTTTATAGTAACAAGGCCACACTTCTCTGTCGTGATGGGGTTTCACCTCGTTCTCCCCTGCAAGTGTGGATGTAGACCACCACTCTCTCGAGAGTAATACTTGGAACTCAAAAAAAATGTTAGACAATGGAGTGGAAAATTTGACTGGTCCCATCGAGCCATAACCATGTCTCTCACTCTTTGATACAGTTTGGGATCGCCATATAGAGCCACACGTATCTCGCCCAACATAGTGTCCATCATCTCATATGCATCGCCTACAATAGCCTTGTCGCTAGCTGCAAACTTTTCTAGCTGCAAACTTTTCATCTTCCATATTGACCTTGTGAACCTCAAGATTTTCTTGTTGGTTGTCCAAAAGGAGTCATCCATGATTACCTTACAAACTTCATCATGCTCAGTATCTCTTGGACCTCACTTAAGACCATGCCAATGCTCACCCAACACGAGAGACAATAAGGACAACCTCACTTCCATCAACCGTCGCAAAATATAATGTATGATATCCAAATAGAGTTTTTTTAGCTTTGAGAAGCTCGAGGTTTGAAATAGTCCTAAATATATACAAAGATCTATTGTGATTACGTATGTACTTCACTATCCTCTTCGCCTGCTTACAATGATTTCTAACTTATCCACAATATCCTTCATAAGAAAGTTTAATGTGTGAGCCAAGCAACCTGACCAGAAAATATGGGGATGAAAGCATTGTATCAATGTCCCAGCACCCCTACAATTAGTAACGTTGTTAGTTACAACCTAAACCAACCACATTCAAGAAAAGTTGTCGAAAGCATCTCATATTTGGGTGGGACATATCCATTCGAAGCATGATCTATTGTGGATACCATTTCTTGGAACCTGCGTCACTTCGCAATGTTAAATGGGATGCCATGGGCATAAAAGCAACGTGCTATAACATCGCAATGTTAAGTGGGATGCCATGGGCATAAAAGCAACGTGCTATAACATCATCGATATCCTCCCCTGCAGGAACATCGAACATATGTAATACTTTGCCTTTTTCCTTTCTAGCAATGCTCTGTACTTGTGATACGATATTGATGGGAATAAGTTGGATCCAATCCAGATACTCCGTCACATATTTTCCTTTTCTTACTCCCAAATAATCGTCGTGCCTCATGACTCTTCCAGCTTTAAGGTATCTCGCTCCTCCTTTGATATTTTAAGGCAAAGTAAACCGACCCCTCTTCTTCTTCTTCTTCTTCTTCTTCGTCTTCGTCTCCCTCTAACACCGTTGTGTTGTCCATGCCAAACTTGTTCCTCCTTAGTGCCCATAATCACTACAATAAAAAATTACAAGAGCCGCATGCAATCTCGCTAGGACCACTACTTGCTATCGAGAATTTTTATGAATAATTTTAAGGCATAACTATATTCCAACAATGAAGCCACCTCGCATGGTAGGAGGGAATAATAGCTAGCTCTTTCAGCATATAATAGTGATAAATACTATTCTGAAGTACATGTTTTACTATTTTGATTGATGGATAAAGAGCAATTGCGTTATGGAGATTTCCCTATTTAGACCCTTACTTTGATGAAAAGAAATAGCCATGAAGAATATGAAATGAAACTTAAAAATATTTCATTTTGAAATTTGAAAAATAAATTAAATTTATTTATTATTAGTCCAGATTCTGGTTGGTAGGGGTTCCCATTATGAGTTAGGGGAATCCCTCCCTGCTGATCCATCCCAAAAATGTCACTCGAACAAGACAAACGAAAAGAATATTGTTGTGACCATTCAATCATACTAAATACAAAGTGTGCCTAGATTCTTAGCAAAAAAAAAACGGAGTCCATGAAGCAAGGCCTTAAATTCGGCAAGGTTAGCAATTGCCACACCAATGAGACCTACATAACCAAAAATCATTGCACCATTCCAATCCCTAACCATGCCTCTTATACCTACAGTACCAAAGTTATCCATAGAGTTGCCATCAAAATTCAATTTGAAGCAGCCCTGAGCTGGTGGAATCCAATGCTCAATTGGTCTCCGCTTAGCAATATGGGAAGAAAATAAACTGTCAAGATTTAGTCTCACATCCACCTCAGCAATACCACGTCCTTCCTTAGTAATGGATAGCCAACTGCAGCAGCTACACAAGATATTGCTTAGCACAATTTATGTGGGTAAAACCTTACCTTCAAATACTCTTATGTTACGCTCCTTCAAACGCTCTATCTTGTGAATTCTCATTGCAGTTAGACAAACTCCCAGTTATTACTATGGTTAAGGAAAATCTCGCATTTTCTTCCACAAAATCTTCGATTTTAAATCGAAACCAAATCCAAGCTAAGTTATCAGAAGACGAATCAATTCAGATCCAAGTTTTTTAGAGGCTTCTATTGAGCATGCAACTTGGAGAGAAGTTTGCGTAGTACTTCACTATGCTTAGTTATATCCTGGGAATACAATCATCACTACTCTATTACATCTTAAATTTTTCAAATCGGGATTGTCCAATACTTCAAAGAAAATAAAAACATCTCATGCCTCTCGTCCCTTATTGAAGCAAAACTCCAAATCGATTTGAATATGAGTTTTTAAGTTTTCAGCAAATGTGCAACCTAGTGCTCTTATTTCAAAATTGTAGCCTTGATCCCAATTTTGAACCTTGTGAGAAGCACATGCTCAATGCTCAAGATCTACAAATGTGTCCTTGTTGCTCACATTTAAGAGAACGCACTTTTAGTTTTCTTAATAAATACCTCAAGAAGTTAAGGCATACCTAAGATTGTTAAGACTTTTTGGGAAGGGGCTAGGACTATGGGGTACCCGTATATTTCAGTCACCCCGTTATGGTTTTCATTCTCACTGATACTATTTACTAACTACTTTAAAAAACTAACCCCTAAATTATTTTTAAAAAAATTAAATAAATAATAAAAATAAAAATAAAAATAAACTAATAGGGGCATATCTTCCCCATTGAATTATTCAGAAAAAAAAATATTTACCGAAAAAAAAAGGCTATTAAGAAACCTTTTATTGATTGGCTTTCAATGACCCAAAAGCCAACATAATCTTAAAATATATCCGAATAGGCCCAAAGGGACGAGGTTGAAAATAGTCCGAAAATATATAGGGACTTATAGCCTCACTCAAGGTAGGACTTTTAACGTATCAAGAAAGTAGACCATGATTTGTGTAGCCGACCCCAATTAATTGAAAAAAAACTATAATGATGATGATGATTGGTAAGACCACTCCAAATTCAATAAAATTTAATTTTTAAGGCGTGTCCATTACAAGAAAATAAAAAACTATAGGGGTATTTTTTTATTGCTCTCGATAGAGTATACGATGATTCATATGACCACTGAACCAATGGACAATCACAAAATCCGACATTTCATATTTGGTAGGTACCCCCTCTCTCACTGGCAGTCCCATCGATCAATTAGATGATGATGAAACTCATGAGCGTAACTCGTCAATGATCATATGGATTGTAGCATAGACACCACACCCCTTCAATCTTTTATTCCAAAACATCTAAGAGTTCCCATTTTGATAAGGCACAATCCAAATCAAGTTCATTATAAACATGATAACATATTACACACACCCAAAAAGAAGCCGTAGACCAGTGTAGGAAGCCACGACTAGGGCACAGTACCCCACTTTGGGCCAGGCCAAGTAACCGGGACCGAGTTGGGCAGTTATCGAACAGACTAAAAAACAGTGTTCAATTATTATTTTTTTTAAAAAAAAAAAGAAGGAAAAATCCCAAAAAATATGAAAAATATAAACAAAACACATTTGAATGCGGTTAAAAAAGTACGGAAAAAATAAAAAGAAGAAGTTTCTATAAGGCCCTTGCTTTATGAAACAAAATAAAGCCTCACCTTAGATCCTCGTCTGGAAAACACTTTTGGCAACAAAAATCTCCATTATGGCTGTAAAATCAATTTCTAACACCAACAATAAAATTTGAAACTCAAGAAATGGTACAGACCTTGAGGACCTATAAAAACTTATTTTTAGGGCTAAATGAACAGTCTGCATATCTTGTTACAATATACACTATTTTTGGAGCTTGAAATCTTTTTTTTTTTTTTTCACAATCATAATGTTCAAGCCAAGAAGATTGATATAAAGGTTTTTGAATTTTTGACTTGCAATTTTAGATGAGTTGTGGGTTGAGGCTTTACTTATTTTAATAGGGCTACAACACTATCAAGCCATTTTCCACAATAGAACTTAAAAATCAATTTGTGACTAGAGGTATATCAGGGAAAATGTAAAAATAAGTATAATTGGCCTAAAGACCTTTTCAATCTTTGCCAAATGACATAAAAAATAAAAAAATAAAATAAAATAAAATAAACATTACAAATAAATTTCTTATTTCTTTGGATTTTTTAATAATTATTTTAATTTTCTTTTAAGACCCTGAGCTTGACTACCAAAAACGGGCTTAACCGGGTGGGTCTGGGTCTGCATAACTCGGGTAGGTCTGGGTCGACCTGCCCGTTTTTGTAAACACTACCCTAGACCATACTGCATGCTGGTGGCTTTCTTACTCTTCTACTATCCATCACTGCCCTCACCTTCTCAGCCTCACCCCACCTCCCAGCCTTTGCATACAAATTTGAGAGACCCACATAGCGCCCTGAGTGCCCAGGCTCCAATTCAATCAACTTTTTTCCAATTCTCTCTCCCAACTGATCATCCCCATGGACAAAACATGCATTCAGTAGAGATCCCAACACACTTGAATCAGGCTTCATAGGCATAGAAACTAAGATTTCCTCCGCCTCTTTGAGCCTTCCAGCCCTACCCAATAAGTCCACCATGCAACCAAAGTGAGCCATTTTGGGCTCAAGTCCATAGTCCTTAGTCATGAGATCAAAGTAAAATTTCCCCTCATTGACGAGCCCTGAATGACTACAAGCACATAAAAGGCTCAAAAAAGCCACCCCATCAGGCACCATTCCATCTCTCTTCATCTTGGAGAAGAAGCATACCGATTCTTCGCCATGCCCATGCATTGCGAGCCCAGTTATAATGGATGTCCAAGCCCACAAATCTCTCACTTGAATCTCTTCGAAAACTTCGATGGCCTTCTCTATGTGGCCGCACTTTGCATACATGTCTATGAGTGCAGTGCTCATCTTAGTGGTCAATTGTAGGCCTTCTTTGCGTCTCTTTCTCAAGTAGTTATGGACCCACTTGCCTTGCCGTAAAGCCCCTAACCGAGCACAGGCAGAAATCAGGCTCACAAGAGAAGCCTCGTTAGGTTCAATTCCTGATAATTGCATCTCTTTAAAAACCATCAGAGCTTCTAGACAGTCATTGCCATTGACATATGATGCTATTAGTGAGCTCCAAGAAATGGAATCTTTCTCTTGCATTTTATCAAATATGTTCCGGGCATCTGAAATAAGCCCTTGTTTGCCTAACCCAGCTAACAGAGCATTGTAAGAAACTACAGTTGGGTGAATAATTTCATCAAAGACTTTGTGTGCATCAGTGGTTTCTCCACAAATTGAATATAAATGGACAAGGGAGCTATGCACAAATGGGTCCGGCTCGAAACCAGATTTTATGACTTTGGTATGGAGGCATTTGCCATTTTGTAGACAGAGAGAGAAGGCACACGCTTTGAGAGAGAAAGGGAAGGAGAAGTGATCGGGTTTGATACCATTGGCGAGCATTCGATTGAAGAAAGAGAAAGATTCATGGGAGGTCTTGGAATTGGAGAAAGCTCTGATCATGGTGTTGAACATGAACGGAGTCGGGTTGTGGACACTGTCAAAGAGGAGGTGGGCGTAGGATATGGAGGGTGGGCAGAGAGAGAAAGCACAGAGAGAGAGGGCCTCGCCCATCGCAAACGGGTCGGCATCGAGTCCTGACCTGATCAATTGGCAGTGGATTTGTTTCAGGTTTTGGAGAGTTTTGCATTGATGGAGGAGAGAGAGAATGTGGGTTTTGGGAATCATGAGAGAGAGAGATTTTTATATTGCGAGTTGTCTCTCAGCCGTTGGGCTGAATGACTGTTGCTGTGTGGGGTGGAATGCTCCAAAGTTTTGCAGTTCCAGTGTTGATTCTCTTTTTGAGATTCAACTTAAATCTCTCTCTCGAGCTGGGTGGGATGGTTTGAGGTTCAGGTTCCAAGTTCTAAAACCATGCTCTCTCTCTCTCTCTCTCTCTCTCTCTCTCTCGCAAGAGAGGGACTATTTTACCGCTCGCGAGTTTGTCTTTCAACGAATCCTTATCAGACTTCGTTGGTTCCTATTTTGATATGGGATTCACAGTTTGAAAACCTGGTAGGGTAGGGTAGGGCAGATTGGCCATATGGAAATCGCTTCAGATCCGTTGATCGGGGTCTTGATCGATACATCCGCCTGTTTCGGCCTTAAAAGAATTTAAAAGAATTATTAAATTTTTTAAAATTGTTTTATAAACTCTTTTAAAATTTAGTTTTATAATAAATTTATATAAGATTGCAACTTTAAAATGTAGAATTAAAGATGCAACTCAAAAATTCATCGAAACAAGTTGTTTTAATGGTGAAAAACACTCGAATCGATCATCTCGACATCAAGATGCATGACTATGAAAAAAAAAAAAAAAGTTTGAGTCTCAAACATAGTGCATCTTATAATACATTATCTAGACTGTCGATTTTCAAAATTCTCATATGTTTACGATCTTCTTGATTTTAAACAATTTTGAAATATAAAAAAATTATAATTAGAGATGAAAAAATATTTTTTGATAATCTGAAGAATTTTTTACATCGAAATTACATGTTATGATAAAATTTGGAGGTGTACCTTAATTGGATTGTTTAAGGTTGCAACCTTATACAAACCACACCCATTACTTATAGTTTTTCATTATTTTATCAAAAATATGTAAATACTGTGATCATATTTCATGTTTGAGTGTATGTTATCTATTACATTCATTTCAGAGACAATAATCCATCTTTCTCCCTTTGGTAGTGTGCGATTTTTCCAAGCATATTGTGTTAGTTACAATAAAATAATAATAAATAAATAAAATTGATAAACAACTTACTAGGATTTGTCTTTAAATCACACAAGGGACTTAAGGTTCCATACCAAATGCTATAGACCAAGCCATTCAGTGACAGGAAACCTTGAGAGTCATATTTGGTGAATCTCATTCACCTTCAATCTCTCTTTTCCTATCATTTTCTTTGTCTTTTCTAGAGGGGTTAACCTCTTTTTATAGATAATACATTTCTTTTGTAACTCTCACATTCATGGTCTATAGGAGTTGAGATCTGAGTTAAGATCTGAGTTGAGATCTAAGTGTAACTTTTGCCTTAATTCCCTGAAGTGCGGCTAATTAAGACTAACAAGTTGCCGCCAAGTTGTTAATCCTATATAATGAGTTAAACCTATCACTAGTCCACTAATGACTCACATAATAGGATGTCACCCAAGCATTCCCACAATTTGATAAAAGATATTTGAAAATTAAATAGACTTTGTATATGTATAACATAAAAATAAATTATTACAAAGAATCCAAACATACCATTGGGTTTTCCCTCCAGGGCATTATCCTATTAAAGCTCAAAAATAGATCCAAGTATATGGCATTGCCTCATGTTAACCACATGGGATTTCACAAATACTTCAATATGGCTTTTGTACTATTATTGAAAACACATTTCTAGGAGAAAAGGGCCTGATAGGCCTCATTTCCAATTACTCCCACTTAGCATTAAGGTCATTTGTCGTCTTTGTATAGACCATTACCTCATACTTTCCACATTGGATTTTCACATTGGATTTTCATATACTCAACCAGTGTAGTCTTACACCACACTTAGATTTCCTGGCCTCTAAACAGCCTTGTATATGGCATTGCTTCATGCTACTTGCATGAGATTTTACATATACCCTACCAATGTGGTCATACACCACAATTAGATTTGCTGGCCCCAACAACCTTGTATAGGGCATTGCCTTATGTTACTTGCATGAGATTTCATATATACCTTGCCAATGTGGATCATATACCATACTTATATTTCTTGGCCCCTGCATTACCAAGAAAGAAAGACCTATGTGATCTTTTACTGGGGAATAATATTTTTTTTTTTATATCACCTTTTTTGTTTTGGTAAAAATCACTTATAGGTGGTCTTTTTACAACATCATGTACTTGAAAATAAAATCAACTTGGCAATAAAACCAAGATATTAAACTTTGATGCCATTGAAATAACTATCCACTATGCTTGAGAATAAAAAATAAGATTGCAAGAAATAAAAGAGAAGAGTGCCGAAGATTACCTCAAGCGAGCTTATTACACCCCACACCGAGTCACCATCCGATGGCTCGGGATCGACGATCTTGCTTCAATCTCAAACCGAGAAAGCAAGTTTAGGCCAAGCAACACCAAATGAACATGAACCCCTTTGATCACAAACTCAAGCCCTCAGTGAATTCTCTTAGCAACCTAGTTTGAGAGAGATATATTATTTTGTTGCTAAGCCTAAAACCCTTAGCCATAAATCTATAGTTGAGAGATGGGAGAAAGAAGAACTCCATAGCTTAAACCCTTAGCCCATTTTCACAATGTGGGAGAGAGAGAGATCAAATATGAGAGAGAAACTTTCTTAAGAGAGAGATAATCTTTTTTTTTAAGAGAGAGAGATATAAAGATAAGGTGTAGAGATTTTAGGGTAGAGACAATCCCTTTTTTATAGGCTTGAACAATATTAAGGTTTCTTAAGGTTTTATTTGGCTTGCCTCTTCTTGTGAGATTGAACATGGACCGTCGATCAAGGGTGACGTGTGGGGTGAGAGATTAAAGTCATCCATTCTATAGATAGGTCATCAACATTATGGAAGATGCATGAACCCTTGTCCCCCGTGAACCCTTGTCCCCCTTTCCTAAATCATTTTCTCATTAATAGAAAATAAGCTAATTTAATTTTAATTAAATATTGTGTATTCCATAAAAAATAACACAGATCTACACATATTTTCCATAAAATCTATCAAATATATATCAAGTCAATATCTACTTCCATATTAAGTCAATATATGGTTAATACATACTCAATCCATAATTTAACCACATGTCACAATTTAAAGTTACCAAAACATAAGGTCATATGAACCACAAAACAAAACTTTCCATAAAAAGTAATAAGAGGTGGGGCGTGCCACCCATGGGAGGCACATGTGGCCCACCTTCTAGAAACATGGTGGGCCCATATGCACAATGGGCATCCATGATTTATTTTTTTATACATTTAAAATTAACAAAATAATTTCTAATGAATATTAAAATATTATAAAATCAATATCTTTAATTTTATAAATTCAAAAATTATAAATAAAATATCTAAATATTCATAAAAATTCAAATAATAATTCTAAAATAACCATTATCATAAAATAAACATAATTAAATTAATTTGATGGGAAATGGATCCATATAGTTTAGGAATTGAATTAACAATCATGAGGCACTCCACCTTCAACTGTGGACTACGGACCACACTTGCTTTATCAGACCGACCCAGAGTTTCCCATGACCCACAATTCAAGCAGGAGCTCATTAGCCAAGGGGTCGCAATCCCAATCATTGAATTACAGGTCCTCCTCTAGAGACGAGTCCATGTTACCAAGACCTGATGCGACCACAGTTCTATGGCATATAGGGCGATCTCTCGTACATGCATACGTTTCACCCTAAAAGGTGGATTTCTGGCTTTTTCGAACAATCTATCGATATGCATGTTGTGTGATGGCACATGGATGGAATTTTGGTCCCCGTCTATGTCAGCTACCATCACACACAAGCGTTACGTAGTCCCTCGGCTCACTCATTCGGGCATGTTCTCCGATCTCATCAAAAACTATCCTATGAACCCTCCTCGGTTTGTTATTCATGCCCAAATAATAAGGATTTGTCCCAACCGACAGGCCTAAATCGTCAAGCACAGTCCGGTATCTGCAAACATCGTTTGTATGGTATGGTCCACGAGGGACCACATTCCCACTGAGTTTATGTTCCACTATATCATTTCCTTTTACAAGCACTCATAAGGCCTTTATGGGACCACATTCCCCCTGAGTTTATGTTCCACTATATCATTTCATTTTACAAGCACTCATAAGGCCTTTATAGGCCACATAAACCCAACATCTCTCACTTAGCCTTTGAAGGCTTTACATTTTCTCTTCCTCACTTTCTCTCATTCCTATCTCCTCTCCCAATTACAATATCTCTCTCAAGCAATTTTCGCTTATTTTCTCTTAATACATTAATCATGGCTTTCACCATCAATCCTTTCAGAAAAAGATTTATAGAGCCAATGTATTTTCTCTTTACTGCTAGGATTTCATCCCAAAAGTGGTCGTAGTCTATCTTTCATGTCGCATCGCGAATCATGGACCTATTGTCGTAGAAGATCATTATGTATCATCATCACATGGGATCGTATGTTCATGGGCTCAAAGGAGTTCTTCAAACAAACTACCCCCTTTTGTAGTCATACAACCAGCGCCACACATCCGAGTTCCTTGGGTGAACAACATCGTAGTCTATTATTTCAGCTGACATGCCAAGGTGCTCCCACTGGAATATTTAGTTTATCTAGATCTCAATCTTTCTCGATCTCACCTCATTCCTGAAGTGATAGACACAGTTTTATATGCTTGGAGCTCTTATGGAATCGTGGCTCTTTTGACACATATATCACTGTCGTGTTGTCGCAGAAAATCCTTACTGTCTCACAACACACAGAATGAAGGTCAAGTCGATTAAAAAATTATAGTCTCCTTGGCCACCAAACAGCATGCCACGTACTTTGTCTCCATAGTGGACAATT